GGGGGGGCTCTCACCTGGGAGTTGGGCTGGAAGATGGGGTGGAGACTCGAGCACTTCTGGAGTTTCTCCAACATGAGGGCCTGGGTTTGGGGACAAAAAAGCACATTTTGGGTCCCTCCCAAACTATATTATTTTATTCATCTCTTTTTCTATCCCCCCGACCCCAAAAACCCTGTAATTCGCCCCAAAATCCCCCCAGAAAACGCCCAAAAATGGAGTTCTTTTCACCCAAATCCCTTCAAACTGCCCCAAAACTGAGAATTTTGCCTCCAATTTTGCCACACCCACCTCCAGGCTGGGGGGAGGGAAGGGCTGTCAGGGCCAGTACCTGTCTCCTTGAAGAGCCGCCTTGCACAGGAGGATGACCACTGTTGTGGGGTACAGGTTGGTCATCAGGTGAAGGAGTGACTCCGCTTTCTCCCACGCCGCCTGTGTGCTGCAGCATTGCAGGCTCTCAAGGATGCTGCTGACTATCTTGGGGGCCTGCAGGGGATAAAGGGGAGGATGGCACTGCCCCCGCAGTGCAGCCATGTGCTCAGTCGCCCTTCCCATTCCTCTCTGCTGCCTTGAGGTGGCTTGGGGGGCCCAAGTCCCCTGTGCTTGGGAGGGAGGGATGCGGGGAGGAACAAGGCCCAAGAGGGCTGAAGGGCACGACAACGCAGCCCCAGGCCACTTACGTCCGTCAGCCAGACGTCCGGGGCTTCCAAGGCCACATCCAGCAGGCTGCTGGGCACCTGCTGGTCGAGGATGCTGGCATCTCCCATGGCCTCGACGGCCACAAGGATGACGTCTGTCCTCTCGTGGGACCGCAGGTATTTTCCAAAGGCCTATGGCAGCAAGGAGGGAAGACGTGTCACACTGAGTGCCCTGATGGTGCTGCTTGGCTGAGCAGCTGGAGCGGCCCTGGCCGGACGTGCCCAGCCCTGCTGACAGCAGTGCCCGCAGCAAAGCTGGCAGCAGTGCCTGCAGTCCCTGCATGGCAGAAGATGAGCAGAGAGGGCCCTCCTGCTGGGGGAGGAGGGCTCATGGGCACGGGCTGCTGGCCCCGGCGAGAACCAGGGACTTGCTGGTGGCCAGGAGCACTGGAGCTCCTGCTGGGGCCGAAGCTGCTGCTGGGCCACTGGAGTGCAGCCCTCGTGCTGTCCCTGCTCAAGGACGGCGCCAACCCTCTCCCCAGGGAGCTGAGGGCACGCCAGCCCCACTGCTGCGGGGTCCTTTGGCTCACAGCAGTGCCCTGCTGGTGCCACGGACAAGAGTCCCAGCAAGGGCGCAGCTCCTCACCTTGGCGCAGTCCCTGGCGCTCAGAGAACACAGCGCGGAGGTGGTCTCGGCTTCCCAGTGGGCTTGGCCTGCTCTGTCCTTTGACCTGGATTCGACTAAAGCCCGGGGCAAACACACAAGAGTCAGGAAGGCAGAGCAGCTTTGCCAGCAAGCTCACCAAAGCGCCCTGGCATCTGCTGGCCGGGTGGCAGGACAGGAGCAGTCCAGGATTCGGGAGGGCATCGGGAACAGCTTCTTGCTACAGGCGCTGGAGGGGCCAGCCAGGGTGGGGGATCTGCTCTTCCCCACCAGGGAAGACGTGGCTTTGGGACAGGGAAGTCAAGAGGAGCTTTGGCTGTGGGGCCCACAAACCAGCGGGCTGCAAGATCCTGAAAGGAAGGGGAGGAAGGAGAGCAGCAGCAAACAGATCCTGGCCTTGAGCAGAGCGCTCAGCCTCTGCAGCCAAGTGGCAGCTGGGAAGCTCTGGGAAGCAGCTGGGAGGGGCAAAGGGGGTCAGGAAGCAGATCTATCAGGAGATGTCTGTGTGCAGAGCGATGAAGGCCACCACTGCTCTGCCTTTTTTACTTACAGATGAACTCGGCCAGGGCAAAAAGAGCGTGGAAAGCTGCACAGCTTGTCCGCTCCTCAGAGAATCGGAAAAGGATGAGACGTCCCAGCAGCTTTCCTAGGAGCGGGAGCTGGATCTCCCCAGAGCAGACAGGTCCAGAAGTCCCTCTTCTGTTGTTGGCATGGGCCTGGATGAGGGAGGCACGAGCAGAAAGGCTGAGGGCACAAAGCTGGTGCCAAAGCCCCCCAGCCAAGAGTCTGCCCAGGGCTGGACTCCTGGAGAGTTCAGGCTTTGCAGAGCCCTGCGTCCCCAGCTCTCAGAGCAGCCATGTGGGCAGCAGCCCTGGCACGGAGAGCAGCAGGGATGGGGGCATGGTCTGGCTGGAGGGGGCCTGGTCCTTACCTGCAGAGTGGAATAGTCGGACAGCACACGAGCCAGCACATCGATCCTTGCCATGGCCCTCTCCCTCACAGCCTCTCTCTCGCAGCTGGTAAAGTCCAGCAGCAGCTGGGACAAGAGAAGCAGCAAGTGAGCCCTGGCAGCAGACTCCAACGCCAGCAGCAGCACAGCTCCACTCCTGGGCCGCACTCGCCCCATCCCTCAAGGCTTCCTCTCCCCTCCAGCAAAGCCTGCAGTGGACTGTCTGCCCCTGGATTCCCACCCAGGATGGGCACAAAGGCCCAGAGCCAACCTCATGGCCAAGGAGGAGGGCAGGTGCCACCCTCTGCAGCCCCTGTGCTCCACAAGAGCCTGGGGCCAGCCCCTGCTCCCCCACAGGAGGTGGGCACCCTCCCCGCAGGGCATTCTGCCTGCTTGGCGCTGCTCCGGGCACCACTCAGCCAGGAGTGGGCAAACCCTCCCCTCTAGGCTGAGGAACAGCCCTGCCACCCCCCCTTTTTGCTTGTGCCAGACCTCCAAGATGCCCTGCAGCTCCTCGCTGACCCGAGAGGCAGGAAAGCTGAGCACCACTGTCCTCAGCATGCTGTCCATGGAGTTCAGGGTCTGCAAGGAACACAGAGAGCAGTGGCGGTCATTCTGCTGTTCCTGCCAGCCCCAGGAGAGCCATCTGAACCCCCCGCGCCAGATATGGGCATAGACAATCTGCCAGGGCAGAGCAGCCTGTGGCACGGGACGCGGCCAGGCCTGCGGGAAGGGGACAGAGGCAGGAGGGTGGGAAAGACCCTGCCCTGCCTGGGATCCCTGCTCCTGTGGCAGCATGGGGTAGCCAGGGAGCAGGCCAGAGGGGCTGGAGGCCCCTGGAGCTCGCCCAGCACTTACCTTGAGATAGAGGGCAAGGTCCTCTTTTGGCATTTCCTTCTCTGCAGGCAGCCAGAAGACACTTGAGAAGCACACGCAGAGGAGGCTTTTGGCTTTGCCCTCCAGCGCTGTGTCCACCAAGCTGCAGGGAGAGAGCAGGACACTGGTTGCACACGGGTGCTGGGAGCAGCCCCTCGACGACTCGTGCGCGTGGCATCAGACCTCTGGGCCAGGGGGCCCCTGAGGGATGGGCAGGTACCTCAATTTCTCCAGAGCCAGCATGGAAAGATGCCGAAGGTCTGTGCACAGGTGGTCCCTTGGCTCTTCTTCCAGTAGCGCCTGCAGAGCACAAGCGGGATGGCACCTGGCAGCTGCCAGCACCCAGGGCCTCCAGTCCCTGACCCCCCCCAGCGCTGTCCGCACAGGCTGCCTGTGCCAGGGGGCTTTGCTCCCTTGGCCACATTGCCCAGAGTGCCCTCACCTTGATGTTCTCTGCCAGCTGGTACATGTCACAGAACAGATCCAGGCCCTGGCTCAGGCCGTGGATCAAGGCGCTTCTGCACAGCACGGAGATGCTCTGAAGAAATGTGGCCTTGTCTCTCTCCTCCTGCCAGGCGGGGGACAGAGACACAAACGTGCATTGTGAGCGGGCGGACACAGCCAGCGGGACCACAGCACTGGGGGTGCAGTGCCCTGCGGGAGAAGCAGCCCTGCCCTGCCAGCACCCCTCCAGCAGCCCAGCAGCACAGCCCCTGCCAGCAGACAGCAGCACAGCTGCCCTCCAGTTGGCCGCAGTTACCTAATTCAGAGCAGCTGAGCCTGGACTGAACAGCCAAAGAGGGGCCTGTGGTGCCAGGGGAGGTGCCAGGGCTCTGCAGCACAAGTGCAGCAGCTGCCATGGACAGCACAGGGCCTGTGCAGGGACCCGTCCCCATTCCCAGCAGTTGTGGGACAGGCACCACCCAGGGCTCCTCAGACACATTGGGTGCCTTTGGGGCAGGGAGTGAATCCCAGCCCTGCAGGGACACAAAGGCTGTCCCTTCTCTGCCCAGCCAAGGCCGGGCCAGGCACGAGTCCAAAGCACATCAGCCCAGGCTGTCCACACTTGTTTCCTCCCTCTGCTGGCTCTGCTCTCCCCCAGCATTTCAGCAGCATGTGCTGATCTCCTCAGGGATCAGGCCTGGGATTTTCCCCCTGGGCCTGAGTCCCAGCACGTCCACCCCCAAGGCCATTGTCAGCAAAGCCTCTGCACAGCCCAGCTCTCGGGGCTTTCAGAGCAGCTTTCCCCACTGCAAGTCTGTTCTTACCCCCGGTGCCCCCGCTGAGGGGCTGCAGCCAGACAGGCCCCAATGCCCTGCGTGTGGGGCACAGGCAGGAGGAGCTGCAGCCCCAAGTCTCTCTTCATTCCACTGGGAGGCAAGAACAGCCCAGGGCTGCTGAGACAGTTCCCAGGTTTTGGTGCTGTGATGGGTTGGGAGAGAAGGCCAAGGAGACAGAGGAGAGAAAGAGCAGGAGAGAGGTGTCCTCAGCGGGAAGGAGCTTCTTGGACCTGTGGAGCTGCTCTAGGGGATGAACAACTTGGGTGAACTTTTGTGGATGAGGGTCAGAGGAGAGACTGGTTTGGGTGACCTTGTGGAGTGAGACAAAGAGCCCATTCAAGTTGTCTTTGATAACCCTGGAATTCCCTGGAAAGGCACCAGGACAGGATGCAAAGAGTCCCAGAGGATTGTGCAGGGTGTGGGTCAAGACAGCCCTTGGGACACAGGCCTTTAGAGCACAGCTGGCAGGTTGGTGGGCAACAGGGAGGCTCATCTGCATCTGCTTCTCTCCAAGAGGAACCAAGAGGTTACCATAGTAACTGACCGTAGCGATGGGAATGTATGGTGGTTGCCATGGTAACAGACCATAGCAATGGGACTGTGTGATGGTTGCCATGGTAAACTGACTGTAGCAACAGGAATGTATGATGGTTTCCATGGTAACTGACTGTACCAGTGGGAAGTATAATGGTTCCCATGGCAGCTGACCGTAGCAGTTGGAATGTGTGCCGGTTGCCATGGTAACTGACCATAGGAATGAGAATGTATGATGGTTGCCATGGTAACTAATGGTGGTAGTGAGAATGTGTGCTGGTTGCCATGGTAACTGACCATAACAGTGGAAAGTATGATGGTTGCCATGGTATCTGACCGTAGCAAGGGGAATGTATGATGGTTGCCATGGTAACTGACCATAACAGTGTGAATTATGATGGTTGCCATGGTAACTGACGGTAGCAATAGAAATGTGTGGTGCCATGGTAACTGACTATAGCAATGGGAATGTAAGATGTTTGCCATGGTAACTTACCAGAGCAACAAGACTGTATGCTGGTTGTCATGGTAACTGACTATAGAAATTGGAATGTGTGATGGTTGCCGTGGTAACTGACCGTAGCAATGGGCATGTATGATGGTTGCCATGGTAAC